TACAAAACATAGTTAATTATTTTAGTTAAGGTAAAAATTGGATTGATTAATTTTCAGGTACCGTTTGGAGCGGTATTTTCAATTTGTGCTCGGGCCAGCCGAGATTTTCGTCAGTCGCCGGAGTGAAATCGAGACTAGGCGCGTTCGTGGTGAACCTAATGGTCGGGATGGGTCAATTATTCACTGTTTTATTCTGCCTAGTTGGGTGGGGCTGGAGTATTTGGTGGGGCGTCACTTTGGTCCGCTTAGCAAGTAAGTAATATTAATCATCGATCCAAAAATCTGCTAGGATTCCGTCCTAGATATCAAGCACAGGGGGCGGAGTTTCGTGCTCTCTTTTAATGAATCATAGCGCAAACGGCATAAATGGTTTCCACGCTAAAAATAAATGTAATCTCATTGTTTTCCTGAAATCACTTGTAGAAATAAGGGAAAACTGAATTTTCTTAAAGAGACTGGATTTAGTTATGATTCACAATAACTTATAGTAAAGTAAAGAATNAGAAAAACAAATTTTATATACGCATCAATCTAATAATAATGATTTTCCTTATTCCTAAATGACAGGAGCCGAAAGCTAAGATACCGGATGTCTTGGTAGAGCACAATTCACTAATGCGTGGCGCTATTCCGTGTCTACCGGTTCCTCTCGCCTGGTTTTGTCTCGTGTGGAATGTACTATTTCCTGGTTCTGGTAAATTAAATAACTGTTGAACATTTCTAACCGTAGAACTGCCGACGATTAAAATGTAATTTTCAATAATTAAATATATGCCAATTAACTGATGCCGAGAAAATCAGAACATGCAACGGAAATAAAAGTGCTTCTTCTACTTTCTACAGATCATTAAGAAACTTTAGAGATATAGTGGAGAGAATTGAAAAACGAGATTTTTAAAACCATCGTTGAAATTGGAATTAATTCTGATCCTCTTCAATACGTCGATAGTCCAAAACATTGCAAATTTGAAATATCACGTAAAATAGTTCTTGAATTAGAGTTACCAATCAAAATGATAGCCAATATGTATAGAATACAATTTATATTAAAACTATTCCTCAGTAATGTATTTCTAGATATGCATATACAAAACATAGTTAATTATTTTAGTTAAGGTAAAAATTGGATTGATTAATTTTCAGGTACCGTTTGGAGCGGTATTTTCAATTTGTGCTCGGGCCAGCCGAGATTTTCGTCAGTCGCCGGAGTGAAATCGAGACTAGGCGCGTTCGTGGTGAACCTAATGGTCGGGATGGGTCAATTATTCACTGTTTTATTCTGCCTAGTTGGGTGGGGCTGGAGTATTTGGTGGGGCGTCACTTTGGTCCGCTTAGCAAGTAAGTAATATTAATCATCGATCCAAAAATCTGCTAGGATTCCGTCCTAGATATCAAGCACAGGGGGCGGAGTTTCGTGCTCTCTTTTAATGAATCATAGCGCAAACGGCATAAATGGTTTCCACGCTAAAAATAAATGTAATCTCATTGTTTTCCTGAAATCACTTGTAGAAATAAGGGAAAACTGAATTTTCTTAAAGAGACTGGATTTAGTTATGATTCACAATAACTTATAGTAAAGTAAAGAATAATTCTAATCTCATTAAATATAATTAAAATAAATGTACAGATATCAAATTCTTTTCGTTCAACTAAAAATACTTTTTTCTTATTCATTTAATTAATGGTATTGACTGATTGCTTTATAAATGAAGAGAATTAATTGTTTCAGGGAAGTATAAGAGATTCAAGGCTTCCGAGGCGGCTTGCAACGATCCGGAGAGAGGAGAACCCCCGGCTCTACCTCCCGGAGTACCGAGTCAAATGTTAAGAGGGTTGGAACGGACGCGATAATTTTTGAACCAATGAACACGATTGCTCGCGCTTATCAGACTCCGTGAAATCGCCTCTTCTTTTTTTATATTGCCCGCCCTAGCGACTCTTCACTACGTGCCTTCTCGAAAAAACCGCAGAAAAAATCGAATGAAAATTGGAATATCATCGCTTGGCGAATTTGAGATATTATAATGGTTTTTTCTTAACCGGAGGAATTTTGCTATGAAAGTTGGAAAGGGACGGTAAAAACGATCGCTTCGTATCGCGATGGAATAAAATTAAATTGTTAAAAGAAATGACTTCGTAAAAGGCGAACGTTGATTGAAACGAAAAAAAGAAGAAATAATATTGGAAAATAAATATGGAACGATGTTTTCGTGGTTGATCGAGGACCGAAACGAAGTTCTTGGAAATTAATCGCTTTCAGTGAAAGCATATACCTATCCCATGGCGTTCTTTCAAAATGTACTCGTTGCGTCGGACAGAAATTGCTCCTCGTTTTTGTCTTTTCCGTGTTTACAACGGTGAAGCATTTCCCTTTGTTTTAATGTTTTCCCTTTGTCCCTGCGTTCCTCCCGCGGTGAAAAACAAAGAAAGAAATCCATATTTTCTCTTCACGATTCTCCCTATTTGGCTTATTTTCGATACAAAAGGGTACTTTACGTTCTCCGTATACGTCGATGGAATAAATACGTTTTGAAAAAACGCACTTTATATTTTTACAAGCGCAACACATATTATATGTATACATACATCCATATATTCAACTATCCGACATATCGAACAACTTACAACTAAAAAAGGTTCTTGTAAATATGAAAATATATTACTTACATCAGTTTTTAATCTAATCGATGCTTCTGCAATTGTTCCCTCCTTTCATATCCCCTAAACGCAGTTTAAAGAAGATTTTACTATATTCCTTTTTATTTCCTATAAAGATGTGACATAGTTTAACAAAATATCGATTATTGTCGCAATAAACTTCTTTACCGAGTATTATGCAAGCTTCTATAAATATAGATATTGAAAATACTTTCGAATTTCATCGTTTTTTCGTCGTTTCTAATTTTATCTAATCAAAATGTTTAGTAAAAGCGTCAGATTATGACTGGATCTTAAATTTTATAGAAGTGATAATAAGTTTCTTTCTGTTATGTTTTGTCTGTTTTGTAGTCAAGTCTTAGTGTCAATAATTAAAAAAAACCATGCATCGAATAACATCGAGATAGTTTTAATTCTCATCTTATCAATTCCATGGCGTTGAATCGTTAGAAATTTCAAAATACGCTCCGAAAAGTTTCCTTTTTTCGAAGCAGAACATTTTATCCTTTTACTTCAAGGATACTACAAGGTATATAAGTGTGCACTTCTATTTACATAAATTCGATAGGACATTTCCATACGGAGCCACGCGCGCTCGATATCGGTTGTAACACCACGGAATCGCACTGTTCTCGAATTCCAATCTGTTCTCAGCTGGATAGCCTCATGCGGGAAGGATAAAACGTCAACCAACCATCGCCGGGAAGCATGCACTGTTTCATAAATAGACCGCGGATTTTATGCATTTATAAGAAAATGGAATATACCTACTACACAAAGATTGTTTAGAACGTAATAAAAGTATATAGAATACAAAAACTGGAGTGCAAGTTAGAATATTTAAATAATACAAGAAATTGCTGTATGAGATACATCTTTTAAATTAGTATCGTAAATCTTTTATTTTACATAAAAATCCGCAGTCTACTCAAGTCTCAGAACATTTTAAGCCTCGAATACAATGTTCATTCTCTTTTAAAGAAATATCTATTCACAATTTTTTATAGTTATCGTTTTATCAATGAATAAACCAGCATTTAAGAAATACTTTTTAAAATGTTTGATTTGCATATCATTTACAAGAATATCTTTGCTTTTTAAAACATGTATTGCCAATTAGAATAAGATAAATTAAATATAATTCTGTTGCAATTCGTAAGTAGCTTGCTAGTAAGGAGATGTGAGATTCAAACAAAAGATTTTTAATTTGATGCACTTTTTTACTGAAATATCATTAGTCTAATTTGTACTAGGGATATTTTTACAACTGTATACATATTTTACAACTTGTTCTAAGACTTACAAATGGGAATTACATGTTAAACATTCGTGCACACGTGAGGAAACGCAAAGACGCAGGACACGTCTGCGACGGATTTGATTAGGCGCGCATGCTTGCGACTAAGGATCTACTAGCGTATAAACTACTAATAGAAGCTCATGCGAATCGATTCCATGCTCAAGCAGCTCTATTCCAGGCATTTCTTATCACGATCCTGTTATTTTCGCGCTTATCGAAGAACCGCTGGCCTTCTCTTAAAACGTTTCATAGTAGGGATACATACGTCCGGATTCTGTTATCTCTAAACAATGCTTATTATGTGTAAGTGGTGGTCAAAGTGATTTGCTATATGACATCAGGTGTCTAAAAACTGATTATGTTGACTATATTGACTGAATCTTAACATTCTAAAATATGAATTTAAAAAATAAAGATTTTTCATAAGGTGATTATTATAAGGTAGAAAATTATTCATTTCTGACTGAGAAATTATAAAGTAAGTATTATACGTGTTTTAAGTTCAGTAAGAAAGAATAAAAAAAAATGAAAAATGAACCAAATAATTATAGATTGTTTGAAGCATCTACTTCCAAATTTACCCCTTCAGAATTATTAGAGGAATTTGAATGTCTAAGCGGATTCGGGCGAGTACCTAAGACAAATAGGATTTAATTCCATGTTGTATTCTAAATGCATGGGGTTTGATGTTTATTGTCAGGTCAAGTCGGTAGTAGGGAAGCAGCTGTTTTGCAGTGGGACCGCCTGACTGGGGTAATCGTGGCTGTTAACGGAGAAATTTACGAGCCCTAGTCTAGCTGATAATGAATATGATTCTGCTAATCAAGAATTTTGCAAAGATTTAAGATGTTCATGTCTTATTGCTTTACATTAGAAATCCGAAATAATTTTTGTTTTTGTGCAATCAAATTGCAACTATCATAGTGAACAAATTAAATATGAGTGATATATCTTAGTACTTGTATATTTGCACTTTTTTAATGACTCTCAAAGTGTGATACCCATACAAAATAATGCGATTAAAAATGTATATATCTTTTTTTTGTACAATGCATCAATAATTTTCTCTGACCAATATTACGTTCGTGAACGTCACAAGCGACTGCATGGAAATACTAGCCAATGTAGGATAAATGGTTCGCGCAATAAAACTGAAAACGTTGAGATTTTGTCGCATGTCCCACGGAAAAGGAGCAATTGCACGATGACGCCTTATTGCACGGTCTCGAGGGGAACAGTATTTTTCGAAAAACGGGAACGCAACGTTGTTTCTGCGAATCGTTCCGTTCTACGCTCGCCCCGAGGGATTATTAGAGAAAGAAGAGAACGCGAGGAAATGTGTGAGACGCACGCTGGATGTGAGATATCTCTGTCCGCAAGCTGAACAAGTCTTGTAGCAAACATGGCGCAGTTCTGTGTTTAATTCTAAATCCTTGAAATTAAAACGTATATAAAGAAAAACAGGCTTTCGTCCGTTCAAAAATTCATTTGTTTTCTCAATTTGTTTTATACAGTTGGTGAAAGGATTTTCATTTTTTGTTTTTGTTGTTTCATGTGAAAAATTTTTCAAGCATCGCTCATGTGGAAATCATCGGTAACGCAAGGTTGGAATTAAAATAAGAATCGTGTTAAGTAAATAACGGTTAAAATAAACGTTCGTACTCGTTGATAAAAAGTACAGAATTGCATAATGTAATTTGGAGAAATAATATTTGCTCACCGTGTTCCTGGTGTTGTACTAAATAATAATTGGGACGTAAGAAAAATTGGTCTGGTGAAAATTATTTGGCTAGCATTCAAAACAAATTTGCTGAACAAATTTGTATTGACATTCTCCCAGGAGATCTTCATAAAACAGATCTATTACTTCGTTATTGTAACTTGTTTACTTTCACAATTACTTTCGCAAATTGGAAGAATCATTCGAAGTTCGATCAAAACTTAATACATAAATACTATAATTAATTACTAAAAACAAAGAAATTAGGAACGTCTATAAAATTTTACAAAATTTAATCACACTAAAGTTTAATGTATGCTTGAATCAATTATTATTTGAAAGTAGTAACAATATCGAATTTAACTTCTTCGTATTTGGAACCATTTGTACAGCCTTAGAAGAAAATAAAATTATAGTCAAATACAAACAAGGACTATTGCATCAAGTTCGTAAAACGATCGATTCAGTTTTGAGACTAAAACGAGAATAGAGGAAGAGATTAACTGGAGATTGAGAATAAAAACCGAAAGAATAATATGGAGTGATGGTGATGAACAGATTATTTTCTAAGGGAGAGAAAAATAAATGTGGTTTTGAGTAGTAAGGGTAATATATATATAATATGCATGGTATACGGTGTGGGTGTCAATGAATCGAGTCGTTGACGTTGAATATATTGAGTAGTATATGTTTTTAATGATGTGACTCCATTAATATGTCAATATGCACAGGTAAATATATCTTGTTATTATATAATAGAAGTGTTACAGTGTGTAATGTGATACGATAATAAATTTAATAGTAACCATATTATAATTAAGAACTTAAAATAACTCTAAAGGGTAGAACTACATCACTATCGGCTAGCGACTATTTAGCGAATAATAATAGCCTACCATGTCTTTTACTAGCGGCGCTCGGTGAATGTGCTCTTTTCTTAACTTTCCTTTTTTAATACTTCTTTCATTCCTTCTCTTTCTCACTCCCTGCCCTTTCTCTCTCTCTCTTTCGCTCTCGCTCTCACATTCTTTCTGTCAATCTTTCTCTCTCTTTCTCTATGTGTAATTACTACCTCTCTGTGCTCGATGTTCTTCTCGTATCCATGTTGTTCTTTCCCTATGCATATTCTATTTGTTTCTTGCGTATATGTATCTATAGTGCGTCGTTCTTTTCACTGCCTTTTTATCGTGTCCCTTGCAACCTGTCGCTTCTACAAACATCGAAGCCATATTATATAATAGAAGTGTTACAGTGTGTAATGTGATACGATAATAAATTTAATAGTAACCATATTATAATTAAGAACTTAAAATAACTCTAAAGGGTAGAACTACATCACTATCGGCTAGCGACTATTTAGCGAATAATAATAGCCTACCATGTCTTTTACTAGCGGCGCTCGGTGAATGTGCTCTTTTCTTAACTTTCCTTTTTTAATACTTCTTTCATTCCTTCTCTTTCTCACTCCCTGCCCTTTCTCTCTCTCTCTTTCGCTCTCGCTCTCACATTCTTTCTGTCAATCTTTCTCTCTCTTTCTCTATGTGTAATTACTACCTCTCTGTGCTCGATGTTCTTCTCGTATCCATGTTGTTCTTTCCCTATGCATATTCTATTTGTTTCTTGCGTATATGTATCTATAGTGCGTCGTTCTTTTCACTGCCTTTTTATCGTGTCCCTTGCAACCTGTCGCTTCTACAAACATCGAAGCCAATTCATACCGGCTGCTTTTCACACGTCTCTGTCCACCCGCTCTCACAACTCTCCTTTAGCTAGGCCCGATCGATGCGGTCTCTCACGTTTCCGGTTCCATCGGCAACCAGAGAAATTCATCAATTCCACGAGCTTCTAATTAGAATTAGAATCTACGATTTGAGATTCCAATTAATTTTGCTGGCGAATATGCATTTG